TCTCCGCAGCAGCAGCAGCGTTACAGGTAAAATAACCCAGAGCTGTTGGAAACCAGGAACCGGATCTGTAATTTGAGGGACAGCAATGTGTTTTTTAGACACACGCTTTCTTTGGGTTAGTTTCTTTTCACTGGGACTCCATTTCCTTCCATTTCCCCTTTTCTAACTCTAATTCCATTCCTTTCAGTTCTCTCTCTCTCTCTTAGACATTCTACAATAACTAAGTAGTTTATTGGTGAATATTTGAATATACTATTTGGAAGGATTTTTAACCAAAACCTGTTTGAGGTCAGCAAAATAGCTTTGTTTAATCTTAAACACCTGCCCTGATCTGATTTACTCAAGTCATCCAGTGTTAGTCATACAGGGCTTTCGATTCTTAACCATGAAGCAGCTAGGGACGGGAGAGATCAGCTTGTTCGAGGTCAGCCTGGTGATTACAAAGCCGACTCCCTGGATCACACAGATGATTACTCTTCCCATCCCACTGTACTGACCCCACAAAACTGGATTAAATACACTGTTTTAGGAAAGAAATGCTCATGGAGGTTGTTTAAAAAAACACACTCTTGGCCCCTGAACAAGTAAGTGTGTATCTAGAGCAGCGGTTCTCAACCTTCCTGATGCCATGGCCCTTTAACACAGTTCCTCATGTTGTGGTGACCACCAACCATAAAATTGTTTTTGTTGCTACTTCATAACTGTAATTTTGCTACTGTTATGAATCATCATGTAAATATCTGATATGCAGGATGTATTTTCATTGTTACAAATTGAACATAACTAAAGCATAGTGATTAATCACAAAAACAATATGTAATTATATATGTGTTTTCCGATGGTCTTAGGCGACCCCTGTGAAAGGGTCGTTTGATCCCCAAAGGGGTCGCGACCCACAGGTTGAGAAACACTGATCTAGAAGAAGAAAAATTGGCAATCTCGAATTATGGCCTTTACGTTTTTTGTGTGTGTTCAGGGACAAAGGGGAAATCAGATTCCTTTGCGGTGACACTATAAAAACTTTTATTTCTCCCGTTCCAGCCTTTCTCTGTTACCTGGGCTGACTTAATAGAGCTGGAAGTCTCTGTGTCTTTGGGGATCCAAATGTCAATTTCGTTCACTCAGTGTTTATCTAACCACATTTTGGTATTTCATTTAAGAAATTTATTTCAGTCATTTGTTCAGTCTGTAAAACCTAATAGTCAGTCAGCACCCAGAGCATAGCGCTGAGCAGTGTTCTGCTCTGGCGGAAGCACAACGCGCTAATTCGCCAATGGCTCGCCCTTCGTTACTTCCCAGAATGCTCTAGGCTTGGCCCCAGGACCCAGGTCTCGGTTGCAACTGGGCTGAAGGGCGCTTATTCCATGGACCTTCTGGCAGAGCCCAGTACGTCACACTAATTGTAGCCCTGCCTGGAGATGGGGCTCCTCTTCTTTCAGAACATTCTGAGTGGTTTCCAGTTTCACAGATCCAGTTGAAAATGAAGTTCCAACAATAACTGTGATGAAAAACAAAGTACCAGAGAAAGTGGCCATTCAGATTCCATTTTGGGTGGCACTAAATTTTCTTTAAATATATTTTATTAATTTTTTACAGAGAGGAATGGAGAGGGATAGAGAGTTAGAAACATCGATGAAAGAGAAACATTGATCAGCTGCCTCCTGCAAACCCTCCACTGGGGATGTGCCCGCAACCAAGGTACATGCCCTTGACCGGAATAGAACCTGGGACCCTTGAGTCCGCAGGCTGATGCTCTATCCACTGAGCCAAATCAGTTAGGGCCCCTTTTATTAGTTAGAGAATAGGCAAGATATGGAAGCCA